GCTGCTTGGAAACCCCATATGCGCTGTCGTCAGTTCCACAATGGAAAGAAGGTGAGTTATTGAAATCAAAGTATTCAAGGTCTTGGATTTGTCTTGGCTCACAAGCTGAATATAAGCCAACAGTGCAATGTGGCAACAAAAAAGGCAAATGCTATTTTAGGCTGCATTCACAGAAGTATAGTTTCCAAATCCCACAAGATGCCTATTCCCCTCTATTCAACACTGGTTAGGCCTCACCTTGAATGTTGTCTTCAGATCTGGACACCACACTTCAAGATGGATGCTGACAAACTGAAACAAGTTCAGAGGAAGGCAACAAGGATTATTAGGGGGCTGGAAACCAAACCCTATGAGGAAAGACTGAAAGAATTGGGCATGTTTAGCCTTGGGGAAAAAAAAGACTGAGGGGAGATACGATAACACTTTAGATATACTTGAAAGGCTGACACACAGAGGAACGGCAGGATCTCAATCATCCCACAGTAGCACATGCAACAATGAGCTCAAGTTACAGGAAGCCAGATTTTGGTTGAATATCAGAAAAAACTTCCTGTTAATTACAGTACCTCAAGAGGTGGTGAGTGCTCCAGCACTGGAGGCATTCAAGAGAAATTTAGACAACTACCTGGCAGATACCCTTCAATTTGTATTCCTGCAATTCTGCATTAGACCTGATGGCCTTATAGGTCCCTTCCAGTTTTACTATTCTGTGATTCTAGGTCTGAGTGATAGACATAGTAGGACCAAATTGGGCATATGTGATTTTTTTCGGTGTACACAAATATGGGATTGGAGACCCACTGGCTTTCCAGATATGGAATGGATGATGACTCCCACAGTTTCCCTCCATTGACTATGCTACCTGGGGCTGCTGTTTTCCCCACTTCTGACTTAAGAGGTTCTAGATTCTGAAATAGCAAGGATTTTTCTGCAATAAGTAGTCTATACCACACAGATTTTGAAAACCACCTGGCTTAAAATACATTTCTAATGTAATCATCTTAAACCAGGACTTCTGTCTCAACAGAAAAGTGCTTGGCAATCCTTACATCTATTAATTGATCAACATTATTGCTTTGCTTATGTGTACCATCTGTGATGTAACATTTGCTACAGGACAATAACTTATCATGATCATTTGTCCTACCAGCTAAGACACAGAACATGATGAGCAAATGCTGAAGTGGGTAAGAGAACTATTACTCCCTAATGCCAGAAGAAATTCCCTGAATAAATGCCGATCCAAGTGGGATTGAAGTTTGTGACATATGGATTAGCTTATCTCAATAATACAATAAGTTTACCTAATGAGTGAATGTCCCAATTTACGCCTCTGTCTATTAAGACATAATTGTTTTTATGTAAGCTTAGTCTGCCAGTTGCAAAACAGGAAAGTGTTAATTTGGGGATCTAATCCATAGTTTGAATTTGGACCTTTGCAACCCATGGGATTAACCACACCCTTCTAGGGTCTCTATGCTTAACCTCATTATTTCCACACCCATATTTTGTAGCACATGGAATGCTGCAGAGAGCTGTTTGAAAATATGAGTGATTGAAAAATTATGACCATGCTGAATAAAATACAGAGAATATTCTTTTCCGCTGTATTTTTCTCCACTGTGAGCTGCTTGTGTAAGAATGCTGAGTTTTGTATCACTCACTTTGGATACTATGGTACACTCTCCACAGTATATACAGACATGTCTTTCCAGCTCGTTTTGACCAGGCTGTGTAATATTTTCAGCCTTTTCGAGGTAGAGTATACTCAGAAGTAGTTTACCATTCCCTTCTTCTGGGGGCACCCTGGAACTGTGCAGCTTGCCTACGGCCACAAGCTGGCTCTACTCACAGGAGGCACAGCAGGGAATTAAACCCACAAACTCTAGCTTTGCAACTGGATACCTGAATCACTGAGCTTGTATAGCCAGAGTGAAAACCTGGCTATATTTTGCTTAGCAAGTCTGAGCATTTCATCCTGCTACAGCTCCACAGAGGACTTCTTTCAGAGCTCAGTGGCTGAAAGGGTGTCACACATAGGGAAGGGGGAAGAGAGGGATGCCAGAGTTAGGAGTCCTGCAGCATTACAAAGGCCCCACTAAGAACTGCATACTCCTTGTGGACACCCCAGAGTAAGAAGTGATGTGCTACCTACGTCACTGTTAACATTTTTGACACAACCAATATCCCATCCTCACCACCATAGTCTTCTTAAGGTAAATTTATTCTTTTTCCCATATAGAAGCAGTTATGAAGTACCTATGTATCGATCTGGACGATTCAATGAAAGAAGAAGAAATTTCATCTGGGATAAAAATACTGCTCTGGTTGGAGAATTTGCTGCTATAGTCTTCGTTTGTTCGTTTAGTCGTGTCCGACTCTTCGTGACCCCATGGACCAGAGCGCGCCAGGCCCGCCTATCTTCCACTGCCTCCTGGAGTTGTGTCAAATTCATG